CTCTCTCTCCCTCTCACTCTATCTGTACAAAAAAATGGAAAAATATCCTCGGGTGAGGATAAAAAAATAAATAAATAAAAATAAAAATAAAAAAATAAAAGCCACCCAGTTCGTGGTTTTTAAAAAAAAAAAAAAAAAAAAAGAAGCCCTGGCCGGTTTGGCTCAGCAGTTAGAGCATCGGCCTGCGGTCCTGAGAGACCCGGGTTCGGTTCCCGCTAAGGGCATGTACCTCGGTTGCAGTTGGTCCCCGGCCCTGGTCGGTCGTGTGGGTGGCAGCCACTTGATGTGTTCCTTTCACATCGATGTTTCTCTCGCTCTCTCTGTTCCTCTCTCTCCCTCCCACTCTACCTGAACCAAAAAATGGGAAAATGCCCTCGGGTGAGGATAAAAAAAGAAAGTTGTTTTTGTTTCAGATGAAGGTAGCTGCAGCCAGGCAGTAACTGTAAATTTTGATACTTCCTCTAGCACAATTCTCGGTAACTCAAATTTAGCCTGTGGTGTAAAAGATGCTTCACTTCCTACAAGCATAGAGAATGTAATTTTATCTCTAGGCCTCTTTAAAATTCCTCTCTGAGCTACTGCTTTAGCTCGTTCTTCATAATCTGCTTTCCATAGTAAATATTGTCCTGCAGGCAAACAAGACCTAGCAGTTTGCTGCCCATCAAAAGGCATCTTCCATTCACTAGCAATAGAATCAACCAGCTGTAAGGTATAAGGTGATGATGAACCAAAATCTTTCACCGCCATTTTTAATTCTTTTAAACGCTTAAAGGGGAGAGGTTCCCATGGCGGTGGTCCCTCATCTCTGGTGGACAATACTGGAAAACTCCCAAAGTCGTTCTCACCCATATTTCTAGCTTGCTGAACAGCTCCCAAAAAACCCACCTTTGTTGGAACTATTCTTGGTCTTCAGGGGCAGTAGGAGCAGAAGCCCCCACCGATGCGTTAAAGGGCTCAAGATCATCATTGTGGTGACACTGAGCCGCAGCATCGTCCAATTCCTGCTGATAATCTGGGGGTAAGGTTTCATCCCGGGGTCTAAATGTGTTCCTGATTTTATTGGAGAATTTTGCTCATTAATACTAGTATAATTTTTAACCTTTTTTATTTCTCAAAATAAAGGTATTGACTCTTCAGTAACCTGTTTTGCTAAGCAAACGGCCTCATGTGTGGGATCAAAGCTATCTTTTAAAGCATTCCATAAAGAAAAGGCATCAATAGGCACCTTTTCCGGTCCGTGAACAGAATAATCATTTTTTATTTCTTTTCCTAACCTTAACCAGGTATCTAAATTCAAAGTACCTTCCTCCAGAAACCACGGAGCACATTCTTGTACAAAATGAAAAAAATTCTCTAAGCTGTTTACTTGAAACATGAATACCTCTTTTATTTAACATATGTTTAGTTATATCAATAAATAATCCTCTTCCCTTAGATTCCGTATGTCCCATGATTACTCGCCCCTTTTCTACTTAGCCTTTTGCTAAGGGGTCTGCAGCACCCAAACGGCGAGAGCCTTATCCTTACTGAAAACATAGACACTTACCTTCAGGTCCCTGTTCGGGCGCCACTTGCTGCTGTCCGGCTGCAGCAGGGTCCGGGGGGCCCGAAGGTGGTCAGGCGTCGGCGCTGGGAGACAGATGACCACACGACCCAGAGGCAGTGTGACACTGTTCCGATTTACTGCAAGTTTCTATGTGCTTTTATATTTTCTTTTTTGGCATGAGTTTAACTTTGGAGGTTAAAGAAGCAGGGAGTTTCATTCCATAGTACCAGGATGTTAGTTTCATTTTTTATCAGAATTAATTTATACCTTTTTGTGTTTATAGATACAAAGAAGGGTGTAGAGTAACCTGTAAGGTGAGACAGAGTTTTCTGTAGGCCCTTTGTCTGAGATTAATAGTTGACCTTTATTTAAAATCTAGTTCTGGGTTTTTAGATCAGCTAGTTTTTGATTTACCTCCCTAACTCAGGACAGCATTTCCTATAAAACCTTGTGCATAAGCACCGAGGGGGCCTTGGCGTGCTCATCGCTCCGTGACGGCAAGCTCGGTAAGGAACACGGAGTCCGTCTTTGTTAACTATTCTCACTCCATCTCACCATGTGCTCCTGTAAAGGGCAAGGGAGGGTCAGGAAGCCTTTGCGTACTGCTAGCCCCTCGTGGTGGGTACCATAGTTTTCCTTTTATCCTATAAGCTATATAAGAAAACCCTTGAGCAGTGGGTAGGGGTCGATAAAATTTTCTCTTATTCTCTTAAAATACTCCTTCTATCTGGGGAGGAGGCACAGGGTATAAGGTGTCTCCATTAGTTCTACCTGTCACAATTCATCCATGAATTGTTTATTAGGGACTTTCAGGGGGAAATTTTTACCTAATTGAATTAGTAAATTATTAAGACAGTCTGGACATGCAGTGGTGACTGTTTCCGGGGAAGCTGGAGTTTCTTCAGAATTTAATTGAAGAGGCATGATTTCAGATACCTTGTTTGTTATTCCCAGGTTAGTCATATAGAATGACAATTCCCAATATTATAATTCCCATAATACCGATCAATCCCACCCCCATGCCACGTCCTCTTCCTAGAAGATGCATCCTTGAAGCTTCCTCCGCACATCCGGACTTTGTCAGACAATGTGGTTGGAAGAGGACGCGGCACTTCCCAGCCGAGGTGTCCTCCTGAATTTTATCCACCACGCGTGGGTGTGGGACCAGCTGGTCCGCCTCCGCCCTCCTACCGGTCTCATGTGGCTGCTGCTGTAATTCCGTAGTTGCAGGACTTCCATTCAGCTCGGTGTCAGGCGGTTCTGAATGATGGATGTTCTGTAGTTTGTCTGTAACTTTGATGTGGTTGTGGGAGGCCGCGATACCGCGTTTACCTACCCGCCATCCTGACCGGAAGTCTCTCTTTTTCTTAAGGATGATTTTATTTATTTATTTTAAAATTTAATCCTCACCTGAGGATATTTTTTCCATTTATCTCTAGATAGAGTGGAAAGGAGGAGGGGAGAGAAAGAGAGAGAGAAAGATCGATGTGAGAGAGACACATCGACTGGTTGCCTCCCTCATGACCCGACCAGGGCCGGGGACGAACTGCAACCAAGGTACGTGCCCTTGACCGGAATCAAACCCACAACTCTTTGGTCTGCGGGCCGATGCTCTAACCACTGAGCAACCAGCCAGTGTGCTTTAACATTTCTTGAAGTGCAGATCTACTGATAACATTCTCAGCCTTTTTGTCTAAAAACAGTTTAATTTTACTTTATTTTTAAAAATGGACTTTTTAAAAACAGTTTTAGGTTCACAGCAAAATTGAGTGAAAAGTACAGACAGTTCCAATGTACCCCTGGCATCCTTCCTCCCCTGCCCATAGGCCTTCATTTATCAAGAATATTTTCACTGGATATAGATTCCTAGGTTGCCAGTATTTTCCCCCCATTGTCTGCTAAAGCTTATTTTCAAGCTCTATTGGAAAAGTCTAGAGTAGCACATAGTCTAGGGCTGGAATAGCCCTTTTAACGCAGGGTCTTCCTGTGGTCTCAACGGAATGCTCAGAGTCTCTAGTGAGGTCTTTGGACTCTGGCCAATAGGAACCCTTGTGTGTCCCAGGGCTGTGTCTCCGGTAGCTGTTCTCTGCTGTGCTCTGCTTGGATTCCACCTCACTACATCAGAAGTGCCATTGGGCAGAAGGCCTGGGAGACAGTGGGGTTCACTTTGTGTTCTCCTTTCACTTGGGGATCACAGTCTTGCACCACCTATCGAACAATGTCCCAAACAGTAGCTCCATTCGTTGTATAGTTGTTTATAGTGGGAGGGCCATGCACTATACATTTTCAAATACCATATTTATGAAACTCATTCCCTACTTTAATAGATATTTTGGTTGTTCTAAATTATGTTAGAGCATAATGATTAACGGGCAGCTCTGGGTTATTAAATTCCTAGCTTTGCTACTTACAGACTGTGGATCCTTGGGGAAGTTATCAGCTAATTTCCTCCAGTTGTAAATGGGGATAAAACAATAACCACCACTTCATAGGGTTGCTCTGTGAAATATATGAGACACTATAAGTGAAATGCTCAGAACAGTTCCTGGAACACAGTGAGTATGCAAAATTTTTGCTATTATTATTCCATGGTCTTACTGTTTCAAACAGTGTTACTGTGACCATTCTGGAACATATTTATTTGATTCTTATGCGAGTCCATCTCTGGAGTTCCTGGGTCAATGGATATAAGCCTTTCATAAGTTTATTAGACATTGCCAAATGCTTTCTAAAAATATTGCACTAAATTACCATCTCACAACTTGTTTTTCCAACTTCTAGCCAAGTCTGAGAGATGAGGCCAAACCGCTACATTTTGTAATCTTAAATATGAACAGTACAACCTTTTAAATTATGGGACAGAATTTGAGCACTCTCTTATGTTCATTGGCTCTTTATACATTTTTTTTTTTTTCACATAACTGCCTGTTGGTATCATTCATTTTGGTTTCTTTTCTTTTTTTTTTTATCCTCACCCGAGGACATTTTTCCATTTTTTGTTCAGATAGAGCGGGAGGAAGAGAGAGGAAGAGAGAGAGAGAGAAACATCGATGTGAAAGGGACACATCGAGTGGCTGCCACTCGCACGACCAACCAGGGCCAGGAGCAAACTGCAACCGAGGTACCTGCCCTTAGCGGGAACCGAACCCGGGTCTCTCTGGACCGCAGGCCGACGCTCCAACCACTGAGCCAAACCGGCCAGGGCGGTTTATTTTCTTCTTAATGATTTTATTCATTCATCCAACTAGCTGCACTGAGTATATATCAGGAAGACAACAGTGAACAAGCCTCTTTCATGAAGTTTCTAATCCAGTCAGAGAGACAGAAGATCAGCAAAGAAAGAACAAAAGAATTACAAGTCCTGCGAGAAGAAAACAGGATGTCACAATCATGAGGAAGCAGCAGTAAGGATGACGGGGGTGGGGGAGTACCTTCCTTAGAAAGAGCAGGAGTCATGGAAGAAGCGTTTGACGAAATGAAATGTGACTTGGGAACCGATGGTTGAGAAGGAGAATCGTGAGGGGAGCAGGGGATCGCGTTTCAGGCAGAAGGAACAGCCGTGAGCGAAAGCTCCAATTCCGGGAGGAGCTCAGCTTGTTTCCAGGGCAGAAAGGCCGCGTGGCTGTAGAGGGCCTGGCGAAGGGTGAGTCACCGGCCCGACTGGAGAGGTGGCCAGGTGCTACGGGGGTATGTATTTTGTTTCCAGGGCTAAGGGAAACCAAGGGCAGGTTTTAAGCAGAACACTGACATGATCTTACATTCTCAAAGATCACTCGAGTCACTCTGGGAGTGGACAGGAGGGAAATCAAATGTGGGTAAAGGCAGGAAGGCTAGTTAAGAGACTACTGCAGAAATCTGAGCAAGTGACAATTGCTTGGGTAGAGTGGAGACTTGGAGACTGAGGGAAGGGAGGAAATTGGTGGTATTTCTGAAGGTATGACTCAATCAACTGTGGAGGCTCACGGAGGATGAAGTTCCGGCGTGTCCCACCGAGGGAACATTGATCACGATGGGGGGACAATAGGAGAGCATGTTTGGGAAGTGAAATGGGAGATGGGGACTTCAGGCTTGGACATGTTCATTTGGAGAGGACAGTAGGACACCTCACCGGAAGTGACAGGGAGGCGCTGGATATTTGAGTTAGAAGCTCTGGATTAAACATAAACTTAATGGGAAAGACTGTGTTTCCACCAAGAAACCTGAGAGTAATTAAATTTAACCCTGGGGACATTTAGAGTTTTGCAATCTAAAATGATTGAGCTGTTCATTAGAATTACTGTGGAGATTGTGTGGCAATGGGACAATCACTAAGTCATGTTGTACACCTGAAAGTAACATAACGTTGTGGTGCGAGAGAACCGAGAGACCACCAGAGCCAAATTAAAGCCAAATAAAGAGCAAAGCCAGCCAGCAACTGATCCCCAGTTCTCGGAGATCAGCCCCGACTTTCAGCTGATTTTTTATTTTATAGGGGGTTTGTTATAAACGTCTGCAGCTGGCATTTCTTGTTGGCCTCGGGGAAGACCAAGCAAGCAATTGCAGAAGTGGAGGCGGTTAGCAATAAGCAGGAGGGAACGGAGGTGGGAGCTGAGGCGAAAGGCAACTGGGTGAACTGGGTCAGCACACATCTATCCTGCTATTCATTCTATTATCTAACTTCTTAAACCTAACAAATTCGCTCAGAGGACACATTCATTTAGAGGAGTACCAGGCCAGCTGGTACTTCCTCAGGTTGCCTCTGAAAGCTTCACAGTTGGCCTTTTGCTCATTTAATCAGGACAAAGTGATAGGAGCAGGCCAGTACAATAGTGCCACATGTCTATCGTGCCTCCATTTTAATAGTTTTCCTTTATTGATTTTAGAGAGAGAGGAAGGGAGAGCAAGAGACAGATAGAAACATTGATGAGAGAGAACATCAACTGGCCGCCTCCTGCATGCCCCCCACTGGGGATTGGGCCCACAACCTGGACATGTGCCCTGACCGGGAATAGAACTGGCGACCTCCTGGTGTGTGGGTCGACACCCAATCACTGAGCCACACTGGCCAGGCTCATGCCTCCATTTTAAAACAGAGCAGTGAATTCAAAAATTTTAAAGCATGATTTAGCAATTAAAAGAGCGTGCACTTATATCGAGCCTTTCTATCAAAAAAATTCAATGCAGCCCTGGCTGGTTTGGCTCAGCGGTTAGAGAGTCAGCCTGTGGACCAAAGAGTTCCGGGTTCAGTTCCTGCTAAGGGCACGTACCTTGGTCGCAATTCATCCCCAACCCTGGTTGGGGTCATGCAGGTGGTAACCAGTTGATGTGTCTCTTTCACATCAATGTTTCTCTCTCTCTCTTCCTTCCTCTCTCCCTCCTGCTCTATCTGAAAATAAATGCAAAAATGTCCTCGGGTGAAGATAAAACAACAACAATAACAACAAAACAAAAAATTCAATGCACATTATGGAGTCAGACCGGCTGATAAGAATGAGGATGCAGTTAGCAGGGAGGAGGCAGGGGAAGGGGTAGCTCTTTCACTGTAGAAGAAGGGGATGTTACAGTTGGGGGCCCTCCCTCCACAGTTATCTGTCCTTCTCTGCCAGGGCAGAATCACGTGGTCACATTTTTACTATCTCTTTTAAGATGTGAGGAGATTACAGTACCGGGGGAAGGGGTTTCTCTTTTCCAGGGTTCCACATTTAGCCTTTCTTAACTGGGGCTTTTGTTTCAGGAGAGTAAACAAGTGAAGCGTTCAGCACACTGCCTGGCACATAATAAGTGCTCAGCTCTTCCCTGCAATTGTTAACTTTAGAAGAAAGGACCCTGGCCTGAAAGCCAGAGGTCCTGGGTTCATTTCTTGGTGGCAAATGACAAAAAAGAAAGTCTAACCAGCTTGAGGAATAAAAGGAATGTGTTGACTCACCTGAACGACTAGGCAGAGAGGTCATCAAACTAAACAGCTGTACAAACCAGGGTCTCTGGGAGCAGCCATTCTACACTTTCTATTTGTCTCTGCTTTTCCCTCCCCATGGCCTGATTCTCTCTTGCTAAAGAAAGCTCTTCTCCACGAGACAGAAAACATGACTGTGCCTGCTAAGCAGTCCGGCAGGAAGAATGCCCTGCTCCCATGAATTCATCCAGGGACTGGTTCTAATGGGCTTGAGGCCACACAGCTAACCCTTGGGCCAATTACTGTTGTCAGAGGAGTGAGACACTCACTGGGCCTCAGTCACCAGTCCAGCCGTGGGCCTTCTCTTGGAAAGTCACAAATCAAAAGCAACCACAGACCACGTTAGAATTCCAAATCCACTATTTACCTGCACGATGTGAGGTCTCACAGCCTCTTGGACCCTCTGCTTTCTCATGATATAATGAAAATTTCGGACCTATCTCATCTAGTGTTTTGTTTTGTATTTTTTTAAATAAGGAGGAATAAACAACATAAAGAATAATGCCAGAGACATATGGGAAGAACTGAATTATTCAGCATTGGGGCGAGAGCTGGAGGGGCAGCTTTCTTCTGGACACACTTGATGTCAGAGGCCCTGGTCCCTTTGGTGAGCCCTTCCCTGGGGCAGCAGACTCCCCATTATCTGGGACTCCAGCAACCTGGCTCACACTGTTTGCCCCACTGTAGTGATTCCCCGAGGCCATGCCCCACCCAAGTTTTACCATAGGATTAGCCTGTCTTGCATCATGCTTCAGATTTTCCTGAAATCTCTCAAACAAGCAGCATCTGGTCTCAGTGAGCCCCATACCTCTTGTCAAGTGGCTCCAGGCCTGCCACTAGAAGCAGCCAGCCTTGATTCATGGCTTGGTTTTTCCTGGGCATCCAAGCCCAGCACAAGAAGCACCATCTGCAGATCACTTCACAGCTTATGCCCCGTGGCCCCAGGTAGAACACAAGCAGAGGCTGACCTTGTCCCAGAGCCAGCACACCCAGTGTACAGCTTCAGACCACATCAAAACACCACCACCCCACCACCTCCACAAGCGACACACACTCAATGAGTGGACTCAGTGGGTACTAGAGTCCTGCTGAAGTAAGTCTTGCTCTGTGTGTTGGGCCCCTACACAGCTGATCCTCCAAGGGAATCAGAGGCCAGTGGTCAGTGGGCACTGCCCTTGCAGCTAATCAGCCTGAGTAAAGCCCTCCCAACAGCAATCAAGACTCAATTACAGCCCTGGCTAGTTTGGTTCAGTACTTGGTGCGTCGGCCTGCAGACCAGAGAGTCCCGGATTTGGTTCCCACTTGGGGCACGTACCAAAAAATAAAATAAATAAAAATAAAAGACTCAATTACAACAGAATGGTGTAGAGTCCACATTAGGGGTGCACCTTGAGGGCCCAACTGGGCTATAAGGAAGGCTGTGCCACTGGACCCTACTGGACACCTACAACAATAAGCCACCCTTTGAAGTCTAGGAGGCATAGCAACTCTATCTAACACATAGAAACAAACACAGGAAAGCAGCCAAAATGAGGAGACAAAGAAACATGTCCCAAGTGAAAGAACAGAACAAAATTCCAGAAAAAGAACTAAACAAAGTGGAGATAAGCAATCCATCAGATGTAGAGTTCAAAACACTGGTTATAAGGATGCTCAAGGAACTTAGTGAAACCTTCAGGAACTTAAGGAGAACTCCAAGGAACATAGTGAGAACATCAACAACATAAAAAAGGACCAGTCAGGATGCTCTAACTGAAATAAAGAATATTTTACAGGGAATCAATAGTAGAGTAGTGAAGCCAAGAAGTAAATGAAGCCAAGAAGCAAACCATAAAATTAGAATATAAGGAAGCAAAAACTCCTAATCAGAACAGCAAAAAGGAAAAAGAATGCAAAAAATGAGGATAGTGTAAGGAGCTTCTGGGACAACTTCAAGCATACCAACATTCACATCATGGGAGTACTAGAAGGAGAAGAGCAAGAGCAAGAAATTGAAAACCTATTTGAAAAAATAATGACAGAAAACTTCCCTAACTTGGTGAAGGAAACAAACATACAAGTCTAGAAAGCACAGAGAGTCCCAAAGAACATGAACCCAAAGAGGTCCACAACAAGACACATCATCATCAAAATGCCAAAGGTAAAACACAAAGAGAGAATCTTAAAAGCAGCAACAGAAAAGCAGTTAGTTACCTACAACGGAGCTCTCATAAGGCTGTCAGCCAATTTCTCAAAAGAAACTTTGCAGGCCAGGATGGAGTGGCAAGAGATATTCAAAGCAATGAAAAGCAACGACCTACAAACACGATTGCTCTATCCTACAAAGCTATCATTTAGAATCAATGGACATATAAAGAGTTTCCCAGACGAGAAAAAGCTAAAGGAGTTCATCACCACCAACCCAATATTATATGAAATGTTGAAAGGTCTTCTTGAAGGAGAAGAACAAAAATATGAACAATAAAATGGCAATAAATACATATCTATCAACAATTGAATCTACAAACAAAACGAGCAAACAGAACAGAAACTTTTTGTTGCTTGCCAAATGGGAGTGGGCTGGGGGATGGGTGAAGAAGATGAAGGAATTAAGAAGTACAAATTGGTTGTTAGACTGATGAACCTGAAAGGGAAGGGGGGAGAGAGGGTAGAAAGAAATAAACCAAAGAACTTCTATGCATATATGCATAACCAATGGACACAAACAATAGTGTGGGGAAGGCAGGAGGGGGGTGGGAGTGGGAATGAGGGGGTCAGTGGGGAAAAAGGGGGGACAACTGTAATACATTCGACAATAAAGATAAGTTAAAAATAAAAAAAGAATAATGCCATACATGTATTAGCTGACAATTTTTGTCAGGCCACACTACTTTAACAAAGCTCATTCTATGGCAACTTATTAATTTACAGTGAATGTCATAACTATTTAAATAACATTCAACATTTTTCAACAATAAAAATGACATACACTGAACAAGGGTGTCAAACGTAGTTGCCTTAAAAAGGCAGGTTGGGGAACCAATCTAAGGGTTATACTCAGAAGCCTTATCTCTAGGTAAACAATGAATGATCAGAGGTCTGGCATCTTCATCAAAAAAGGCATAGATAGCTACTGCTGGAAGGAATCTGAAGCCAGAGAGGTTATGGCCTCTGACATTGCACCACAGTCGGTGGAGCAGCAGGGCTAGGTCCCCGATCTCTCAAATACCAACCATTCTTTCTATTCTACCTCTCTTTCTTGCTCATCCTTTTGGAATTTGACGGATCCTTTTCTAACTGTAAAACGCATTAGAATAGAATTTGATTGCAGTTTGATAATGCAGTTATTTGGATGGAACTTGGAGGTCCTGGGAGAATCCCGGGAGAGATCCAGAGTGGTCTCACTGCATGTTTAGAGCTCATAGTATTGGTGGGGAGGCAGCTGGCCAGGGAGCAGCAGAAAGACTTTCCTTTCATGTGCTGGTCACAGCAGCTGCAGTGAAACTAAAGAACACACAGGAAATGTTCAATAAGTAAACGCTGCTGACAAGCAATTTGGCAACAAATAACAAGACCCTAAAATGTCTAATCATTTGATCCGCTAGCTATGCATATAGAACTAATCCTAGCAAGTGTTCAAATATAAATCAATATCGGTGTTGTTGGTTTTATGTTTTTGTTTTTTGTTTTTTTTAATCCTCATCTGAGGACATTTTTGCATTTATCTTCAGATAGAGCGGGAGGGAGAGAGGGAGGAAGAGAGAGAGAGAAACATCAACATGAAAAAGACACATCGAGTGGTTGCCACCCACATGACCCCAGCTGGGGCCGGGGACAAACTGCAACCGAGGTACGTGCCCTTAGGGGGAACTGGGGTCTCTCTGGTTCATGGCTGACGCTCTAACTGCTGAGTCAAACCGGCTGTGTTGTTTTTTAATGTATAAGTGCATCCCTGCAGATCACGTGCTGCTCACCACGGGTGTTGCCTCTGAGATCTTGAAGGGCTGGGCTTGAGAAGAGATCAACATGTCTTTGTAGAGATTTACTAAATCCCACCTTGGAAGAGGAAAAGAAAAAACATCAAAAGCAATGGCTAGTTCAAAGTTCAAATTCTTATTTTATAGATATCAAATGTTCAGGTTGTTATGATATCACCACGGTTTTCAGTCATGCCCAGAAAGTGGCTTAAAAAAAATTTTTTTTGTTTTTCTTTATTGACTTTCAGAGAGAAAGGAAGGGAGAGGAACAGAGAGATAGAAACATTGATGAGAGAAAACATCAACTGGCTTCCTCCTGCATGACCCCCACTGGGGATCGGGCCCACAACCTGGGCATGTGTCCTGACCGGGAATCAAACCGGTGACCTCTTTCTTGGTGCATAGGTCAATGCTCAACCACTGAGCCACATGGGCCAGACCAGACAGTGGCTTTTTGTGTAGGTTGTTCAATGGTGTTGTGCAAGCCAACAGGAAGAAAGGCTAGACTCACAGAAGGATGTTCATTTAGAAGAAAGCAACACCAATGATCCACACAACTTCTTGAATTTGTATTGTATCACAGAAAGCCTCATCAGATCAGTGATTCTAATTAACCAAGATAATGTAATTACATTTAATTTTGTAAGTAAACAGTAGTGATCACCTATTTTGGTGTCAGTTTTTCAATCAAGTTTTGATTACGGGCAAAAAAATAAAATGTTCATCGCTGCAACACTATATAAGCAAAAAATTCTAAACGAATGTCCGACAATAGGAAAAGAAATATTAGGGTGTATGTATATGATGACTTGCTACAGTGAAGTAAACAATCTTCTCTTTATTTATTTATTTTTTAAAATGTTTTTATTGATGTTAGGGAGAAGAAGAGAGAGGAAGGGAGAGGAAGAGAGAGGAAGGAAGAGGGAGAGAGAGGAAGGGGGAGGGAGAGAGAAGAACATCCATCAGCTGCCTCCTGCATGTCTGCTGCTGGGGACTGAGCCTACAATACAGGCATGTGCCCTAACCAGGAATCGAACCAGTGAACTCTTGGTACATGGGACGATGCTCAACCAACTAAGCCATACCGGCCAGGGCTCTTCTCCTTATTATAAGCATTCTAAGCTGAGCCTTTTTGTTTTGTTTTCAATAGAGATCCTTTAGCTTGGCTGGTGTGGCTCGGTGGTTGAGCATGGACCCATGCAACCAAAGGTCACTAGTTCAATTCCCGGTCAGGGCACATGCCCAGATTGTGGGCCCGATCCCCAGCGGGGGGGGCATGTAGGAGGCAGCCAATTGATATTCTCCCTCATTGATGTTTCTATTCTTTTACCCTTCCTCTCTCTAAAAATAAAAAATAAATAAATAAAAGATCAGTGAAAAGTGGCTGTGGGTACATACGGCTCTGCAGACCATTTCCAGGGGTACTCTGAAGATTGAGGCCCATTGTTCAGGGCTGCTTCTCTCATTTTTTTTTCAATGTATTTTTATTTTTAAATCTTTATTGTTGAATGTATTACAGATATTCCTCATTTTTCCCCCATTGATCCCCTCCTCCCCACTCCTGCCCCCCTCCCGTCTTTTCCCACACTATTGTCTGTGTCTATTGGTTATGCATATAAATTCTTCAGTTTATTTCTTCTCACCCCCCAACCCCTTTCCCTTTGAGGTTTGTCAGTCTAGCAATGAATTTGTACTTCTTAATCCCTTCACCTTTTTCACCCATTCCTCCAACCCCCCTCCCATCTGGCAACCAACAAAATGTTCTCTGTAACTATGAGAATGTTTCTGTTCTGCCTGTTCATTTTGTTTGTAGATTCCATTGCCGATAGATATGTATTCATTGCCATTTTGTTTGTTCATATATTTTATCTTCTTCTTCAAAAAGACCCTTCATCATTTCATATAATAACAGTTTGGTGGTGATGAACTTCTTTAACTTTTTCTTGTCTGGGAAACTCTTTATATGGCCATTAATTCTAAATGACAGCTTTGCAGGATAGAGTAATCTTGGTTGTAGGTTCTTGCTTTTCATCACTAAATATTTCTTGCCACTCCCTTCTGGCCTGCAAAGTTTCTTTTGAGAAATCAGCTGACAACCTTATGGGAACTCCCTTGTAGGTAACTAGCTGCCTTTCTCTTGCTGCTTTTAAGATTCTCTCTTTGTCTTGAACCTTTTGCATTTTGATGATGATGTGTCTTGGTGTGGGACTCTCTGTGCTTCCTGGACTTGTATGTCTATTTCTTTCACCAAGTTAGGAAAGTTTTCTGCCATTATTGTTTCAAACAGGTTTTCGATTTCTTGTTCTCTCTCTTCTCCTTCTGGCACCCCCAAGATGTGAATGTTGGCTCGCTTGAAGTTGTCCCGGAGGCTCCTTACACTATCTCATTTTTTTGGATTCTTTTTTCTTTTTGCTGTTCTGATTGGGCATTTTTTGCTTCCTTATATTCCAAATCAATGGTTTGCTTCTTGGATTTACGTACTCTACTATTGAATCTGTGTAAATTATTCTTTATTTCAATTAATGCCTCCTTCATTTCTGACTGTGCATCCATCATTTCTGACTGGTCCTTTTTTATGCTCTTGAGGCCCTCTCTTGGTTCACTGAGCATCCTTATAAGCAGTATTTTGAACTCAGCATCTGTTAGGTTGCTTATCTCCATTTCGCTTAGTTCTTTTCTTGGGGTTTTGTTCTGTTCTTTCATTTGGGACCTGTTTCTTTGTCTCCTCATTTTGGCTGCCTCTCTGTTTGTTTCTGTGTATTACTTAATGAGAGGTATGGGGCTATCTGAGACCAGATGTGGCTTGTTTGAAAACATTTAGAAAAACCTGAAGCAGAATCCAAGACAGGCCAATCCTATGGTTAAGCAACTGGCAACAGCTTGGGTGGGCCTGAAAGTTGGGTGGGGCAGGGCCTCAGGGAACCACCAGGGCGGAGCTACCAGTGTGAGCCAGGTTGCTGGAGTCCCAGATATGGCAACTGTCTGCCGCCCCAGGGAAGGGCTCAGCAAAGGAACAAAGGACTCTGACAGCACGTTTGTCTTAGAGAAAGCCCCCTCTCCAGCCCTCGCTCCAGTGCCAAACAGCTCAGTTCTTCCCTGTATGACTCTGGTGCCCCTCGAGCTGCCTCCCCTCCGAGCTTAGAGGGAGAGAGTCCGATAAGTCTGTGCGCGGGCCCTTTAGGGAGCTGCCTGGGGCTCCAGCCGCCTGAGCGTCCCTGAGACTCAGTTCCCGCTGGTTTTTCCAGCCAGAAGTGATGGGGATTCTCTTCCTGGCACTGGAACCCTGAGAGGGGCGCCTGGGGTGGGACAGGGACCCCTCAGTCCTCAGGGAGGACCTTCACAGCCGCGGGAGCCTCCTGATTTTTATCTGCCACACGTGGGTGTGGGCCCAGCCCGTCCCCTCCACCCTCCTACCAGTCTCGATGTGGCTGCTGCTTTAATTCCGTAGTTGTAGGACTTTCATTCAGCTTGATTTCAGGGGGTTTTGAATGCTGGTTGTTCTGTAGTTTAGTTGTAACTTTGATGTGGTTGTGGGAGGACGCGATACTGTGTTTACCTACCCGCCATCCTGACCGGAAGTCCTTAGTTATCTGCTTCTCTCATTTTTTGAGGCCAGGGTAAGGGCCTGGGAGGAAGAAGGTGCTCCAGAGAAGCGACAACAGGGAAATGACCCTGCCACATCTCCAAGCCAGGATGACCTAACACCAAACACATGTATTGAACCCACTGTTTAGAAACTCCTGCAGGGAGGAGCTAAAGGTATAAATGAGTCCTGGGGTAAAGTCCAGCCCCAGACCTCCTATGTTTTTTTTTAATGTTTTTATTTATTTATTTAATTTTTTCTTTTATTAATTTTAGAGAGAGAGGAAGTAAAAGGAAGTGAGAGATAGAAACATCGATGAGAGAGAACATTGATTGGCCTCCTCCTGCATGCCCCCAACTGGGGATCGGGCCCACAACCTGGGCACGTGTCCTGACTGAGAATCGAACCGGTGACCTCTTGGTGCATGGGTCGACGCTCAACCACTGAGCCACACTGGCCAGACCAGACCTCCTATGTGGCTCCAGGTCTTTGGATTTCAGTCACCTTATCTGTAAAATGGTGGGTTCCACATACCTGTCTATAAGGTGTGTAACAGTGTACACAAGAACAAGAAGACTGCAAAGGAAATCCCATGAGTTCATCCTCCATGAGTTCATCCTCCATGAGTGCCTCCCTCCCCACCTCCTGTGTTATTAGAATGGGGTAAAGTGAAAAAAACCTCTTTTTAGTTCTCCCTAATACAAGTGTGATCTTGAGAGCCTTTCTCTCTTTTATTTAAGCAGTTTTCCTCAAAAGTTATTTTGTAAAAATATATTACTTGACATTAACCTAGAGAATGATGATAATTTTTTTAAAATAATTTTTTATTGAGTTTTAGAGAAAGAGTAAGGGAGAGGGAGAGAAACACCCATCAGCTGCCTCCTGCACGCCCTCTACTGGGGATCGAGCCTACAACCCAGGTATGTGTCCTGACCAGAAATCAAACCCGAAATATTTTGGTGCCCAGGGCAACACCCAACCAACTGAGCCATACAGGCCAGAACTATAGATTTTCTTTGTTTTATAATCCTCACATGAGGATATTTTTCTATTTATCTTCAGATAGAGTAAGGGGGGAGGGAGAGAGAGAGAAACATTGATATGAGAGAGACACATCAACTAGATGCCTCTTGCACAAACCCAAACAAGGCCGGGGACAAACCACAAGCAAGGTATGTGCCCTTGGCTGGAATCAAACCCAAGACTCATTGGTCCACAGACCAACGCTCTACCACTGAGCCAAACTAGCCAGGGTTAGATTATTTTTCTTTCCCCCCCTTTTTTTATCCTCATTTGAGGACATTTTTGCCTTTGTCCTCAGACAGAGTGGGAGGGAGAGAGGGAGGAAGAGAGAGAGAAACACTGATGTGAGAGGGACACATCGAGTGGTTGCCACCCTCACGACCCCAACCGGGGCCAGGGACAAACTGCTACCAAGGTACGTTCCCTTAGCGGGAACCTGGGACTCTCTGGTCCGCAGGCTGACATTCTAACCACTGAGCCAAATTCCCAGGGCTAGATGATGTTTTTTAAAACAAAGACTGTTTCAGCTAACTTTATTAGTGCCTACTATATGCCAAGCATTGTGCTCACTTCCAGAAATTACCTAATTTCACAGAAACACAGGCAAGGAAATGGCTTTGACTTCTAGTGGCCTGAGAGGCTGCCAATCCAGGGAAGCCTGCGGTAGGTGCTGAGCACAACTGCTATTCCTCCTACATCTGTTAACATTGTAAAGGATCCAGTGCTTTGACTGTTATGTCCCTTGTCAAAACAGATCAAAATGTAAACTCACATCTCAGGTTATTCCAAAGGCCTTTGGCAATTATGTTACTTAAATATGGTCTGATTGGAATTGGCATTAGGGTCTTAAGCTGATTTCTATGTTCCCTTAGTAAACTCAGCCACAACAATTAGGGGTATTCACAAGCCCCAACCTGGAATTAAGTATGTGATTCATTTCTTGGATAAGGCAATTTAGGATCAACCAAGCCCTAGAGGCGAAGGAATCGTCCAGTTGCACCACCCCCTCAGGCCAGAAAGTGGTGTTTGCAGTCTGTATGACCATTGTGTAGGAGGACAGGCACATTCGCCTAGGGGCCTCTGTGCTTGCTAACCTGTATGTTTTTCAGGTTGAAAGCATCAATTAGTTCAACAAATTTATTGATTCTGCACAGAACCCCAAACTAGGGTACTTTGACTATGTATCAAGTAGAACTAAACAGAATCCATAGTCCCTGACCCTGATTACAATCAATTTAGGTTGGCAGCCAAAGTACATGCCACAGGCATAAGAACAGTTGTAAAGCAAAGAAACATGAATACAAATTCATGTCACACAAACTGCTTAAATGTTGCATAATGGAAAGAGTAGTAATTTGCCTCTGTCTGACCTATAATCAGTGACTTGTTTGTCGGTCTTCCTCAGTGGACTTAAGCTAAGCATGATCCATGTGGTATTGGATTTTGTATTTGCAGCTCCTCTCAAAATCGGACAAAGAGCAGACACTCCACAAACATTGAATGAAACATGTAGGTGGGGTTAATCAAATAATCATTCTCCAAGTGGCATGTTTTCCTAAAAATGCATTGTTGTCTGATTATAAAAGTAGTACATACTCATTTTATAAAGTTCAGAAACTATTAAAGAAAGTATAAATCACTTTGCTCTATTCATCCAGAAATAATCACTATTAGTATTTCCTTCCAGTCTTTCTCTATAGAGTGATTGTCTCCTCTTCAGCCATTAAAATGTTATCACATTATTTTTAATGTCTGCACAATATTCCATTGATGCGCAGATTGTTGCCATCTTTTTTGTTATAAATACTGCTTCAATGAATATTTTGTTTTAAAATATTTTTTCCAAAAGGATCTCCTCAGATTATATCCCTAAACATAAATTATTGGGAACATTTTTAAGCTTCTAAATAATGTGACCAAACAATTTTTCCAGTGTGCTGACGTGTTTATAGTTCCATAATTGATGATTGTGTGCCTTCTAGCTGAACCTATTTTGTAAGGGATTTAATTAACAGGATAGAGATTAAAATAATCTTAATAAGTTGGAATACCCCCTGCCCAAGAAATGTCCAAGAAATGTCAGGTTCCCAAACACTGGACCAAGAAATGTCAGGTCCCCAGGCACTGGACCAAGAAATGTCAGGTCCTAACTGCATATTTTTGCTTCTGTACGTGCTTGCTTGCTATCCCCCAGTGCGTACCGGAATGTGGTTTTAAGCTTTAAAAGTTGTGTATGTAAGGAGGTCGGGGCTGATCTCCGAAGACTGTCACAGTGGTGTTCGGAATCAGACACCGGCTGGCTAAAAAATGGCTCTTATTTCTACTTCAATTCTCTAGTGGTCTTTCTTCGACTCTGTTGCCCCACAACATTTGGAGGCCCCAGGGAGATTCTCCCTTTCTTGGGAATCTCTAGACCACTAGACCGGCCGAGGAGGCTTGGGGCTGAGTATTTCTCTGCCCCAGGTGCTTGAACGGGCTCCTTGACTTCCCGGACGGTCTTCACAAATTTGTCTACAAACGGAGTTAGGAGCCATCTGGATTGAATCTTACTGGTGAGTACAAACCTTCAGTTTGTTCTGTTTGGCGCCGTTCGGTGTTTGGAGGAAGGCTGGATGCAGCATTACTTCGCCAGCCTGGTCCTAGGATGAGACGTCACCCTAGATCTGGGTTTGACTCAGTCAGGCCTGAGTTCTGTTCATACCGGTATCTGTATCTGTTTTATTGTTTGTGTCTTAGTCCTTGTTGGTTTCTGCTGGTGTCTGTCCATTGTTCTGCTTGTTATGGGTCAGTCTTCACCAATGCCTGTAACTCCTTTACAATGCATACTCAATAACTTCCAAGATTTTAAGAAACGAGCTGCTGGGTACGGGGCCACAGCAAAACCCTTTGACTTACAGAAATTCTGTCAACTCAACTGGCCCACCTTTGGGGTTGATTGGCCACCCAAAGGAAGCTTCAATTTGCAATTGGCTTTTAAGGTTCAACGGAAAATATATGGCAATCCTGGCCACCCAGATCAGGCCTCCTATATAGATGTCTGGATTGATATTGCCAATGATAAACCTATAAGAACGAGATGGTGCTGAGTAACCAGGAAGTGCAGGTTTATTGAGGGAAATACCAGCCGGGCTGCCTCCAAGTAGAGCGCAGCAGCCGGTCCGTACAGACTAAGGGTTTTTGAACTTAGGGCTGGGGTGGGTGGTTGCCCCGCCCAGGAGTCGCGGTCGTCCTTGATTGGTCGGGGCTGGGGTCTTTCCGAGTTGTTCTTCTAGTCGAGTGGCTGTTTAGGTTTGGGTGGGGGATTCAGGATACTGTTCCGCCTGGCCGGAGCGATAAGCTTTGGTTTCCTGGAATAAGGGGCTTGGGGCGAGGTTAAACAATAAGAGGCTGGGGGTAGTAATATGGAAGTTAAAGTTACCATTTCCTGACTCTTAGTTAATGTAAGTTGGAAGGTTAAAAAAAGTTTGGGTTGATCGAAATTTTGGGTTGACCCCTAGGAATGGCCTCTCAGGCAAGAGTGTTCTTCTGTAGCTACTTCCTGCTGTTCTCCCTATGGGTTCTCCTCCTGGGGGGTCACCCTGGGGTAGAGGGGTATTAGTTTGGAGTAGTAGTTGGTGGTGGGCTACCCTGGCGAGTTCGGTAACCCGTGTTTGCGAAAATTTTAGGAAACAGGGAAGCAGCAAGAGGAGGAGGCAGATAATTATCAATGGGCTGATGAGCGGGGCAATTATGTTAAAAAATGGATTAGACCACCATTGGCTTAGAGGTGAGGGTTCCTCGTGTCTGCGTTACGGAGCCTCTCCTGTAATTTTCGGAGGGTTAATATTTTCCTGTACTATACCTGATCCGTTGATACAGTAGCAGCATTTTTCTTGGAGGAAAAGTCAGGTACCTCCTTTCTCAGCGGTGAGAAGGTCCAGGGCCCATCAGTTTTGGAGGGCGACCTCTGCTTGGGAAGTAAGTTGTCACTGTAGGGAGGCTAGGGAGGCAGCCGAGTTTTCGAAATCTCTTTCTAGATCCGCCTGAATTTGTTCAGTTATCTTAAGGCTGTAGCCGAGTCCAGCTCCCCCAATTCCTAGGGTGGCTATTGAGGAGAAAGAGAGGCCTACAAGAAAAGGGAGAAAAATGGCCCGCTTCTGGCGGGGGGTTTGGAGGTTTTCGGCTCCCTCATCCTCAGTGTAATAGAGAAGCTGCGGGGCGAGGATTCCCGGGATACACGGGCCGGGAGAGGTGGCGTCGATGTGGTTGGTTAGAGTGTGGTTACACTAAAAGAAAGTTCCCCGAGGACTTGTAAAGTCAGAGGTAATTTGATGAGTTTGATTGCATGTCAGGTGGGAGATGTCCTTAGAGTAGCATAGATTGTAGGTGTTATTTGGGGTGTATAAGGGCACGTGTCTAGGGAGAATGAGGAGGCAGGCGGGTTTTAGAAGTGTTTCAGGGATATGAGAGTGGGACTGCGGCCATCGGTGGTTGGTCTAGGAAGGCACAGAGGAAGCACTGTGAGGGCTCGACTTCTTGGGTTAGGTTCAGAATTAGGACTCCTTTTCTTATTAAATCTAGCCATGCAACGGGGGTCTGTTTGCTGGAAAGGTGTTTAGTTAAGGAAGTTTCTTAGGCTAACATTTTGTGGGTGAGATCTTCCAGTTTTTGGACCGTTGTCCTTTGCTGCACCCACTTCCGGCTGATGGACATATAGTATTTAGAGAATCCTCTTGTAAGTGTTCCATTTAGGCCTTTTTGCCATTTAGCATCCCAGGGATCTCCGATGCTGAGGACCCAGGGGGCGGTGGAGGTAGCGTATTCACGGTGAGTTATTTCGGTATCTGTTTCAGTAAATATAATTGTGTCTCCCCAGTAAAAAGATGACGTTGTGCAAGGGGCAGAGGTGGTGAGGTGTGGCAAGAAAGTCCTTGAGATTGTTGTAGGAGCACGGAGCCTCATCCCTGTATAGCTTTGAAGGTGGGATTGGTTTGCGATGAGTTTACGAGCCATCGGACAACCTGTCAAGGGGCAGTCTGTGGAAGCAATTATTCGGGAGGGAGGCCAGGTGGAGGAGACACTGAGAAAGAATCTCCAAACGTGTGGCTCAGGTCCAGAGCTGGAGGAAGAAAGCGGTGTGAGTAGGGTAAGAGAGAGAAGAAGGAAAGACATCCTCTAGGTGAGAAGAAAAAGAAGAAAAAAAGAATAAAAGTCCGTTTCAAAGGGCTCGAATTCCTGAAAGGCTCCTTGCCAGGTGAGCTCCTGGATCCAGGTGAGGAGTTCTTCTGCTTCCGGACTGCGGGGTCTGGACCAGGCGATGTCTTCCAAAATCCGAGCGAGGAAATAAAAAATCTTGTGAGGCAGAGGCTGTGCATTGCTAGTTGAGTGTTGGTTATAGTGTGAGCTGTGAGTATGTTGTCTTGAGCGAGTCTCATAAGATAGTCTGGTTGTGTTCTTCTGCAATCGGTGGACATGAGGAAATTTTGAGGGACGGGACCTGTGGGTGTGGAGAAATAATTTTTAGGACTCTGTGGAGTGCATGGTTGGATGTGTGAGAGATGTGTCCAGTGAGAGTCCCTTCAGTTCTGACCGCCGTGGGAGTGGAGAGGACTGTGTGGGGGCCGGTCCAGATCGGCTGCAGAGGGTTTTTCCCGGGTTTGTTTATACACCTGATCTCCTGGCAGGAGGGTGGGGTGAACCTTGGTGGTAGGAAAAGGTTGAGGAAGGAGTTTATTTACCTGAGTGTAAATTGGACCTCATATAAGCCAATGCTGGGTAGTCTCCGATGGCAGGGTCGGGGTTAGTTAGAGGACTGGAGTCTAGGACAAAGGGCCTTCCGTACATTATTTCAGAGGGCTTAGGTTGAGGGGCCTCCTTGGCATGGCACGAATTCTCATCAGAGCTGGGCGGGGGGGAGCTGAGGCCAGGGAAGGTGGGGCTCAAGAATGGGTTTGGTGAGGTGGTGTTTGAGAATTTGATTAGCCCGCTCTGCTTTGCCCGAGGACTGGGGACGCTAAGGTATGTGTAGCTGCCACTGAAGTCCTAGATGAGTTGAGTGATGGGTGATGTGAGGGATGATGTGCCCGGAGAGGACCGTGGCAACCTGGCTCGCGTCCTCACGTTTAGTGGGAAATGCCTCAATCCAGCCGGAGAAGGTGTCGACCAGAGTGAGAATGTATCTGAATTCCTCGTATTTGGGCCGGTGGGTAAAGTCTATTTGCCAATTTTGTGCTGGCAGTTGTCCCCGGGTTTGGTGGGCAGGAATGACTTGGAATGAATTCCTCCTTGAGGGGTGCAAGGGGTACAGGTCTGGCAGGAGGAGGGTATTTTCTTGAGGATTGTTGGGAGGTTGTTTCCCGTCAGGAAGGTGGAGATGTAAAGGAGTAGGGGTTGGTATCCGGTGTGGAGAGAATTAGGTATGGGTTGTAGGAGATCCTCTGCCTGAGACTGTGGGAGTCGGAGTTTGTTTTCCTGTATATACCAACCATCCTTCCGAGGCAAGGAAGAGTAGGCGGCCTTTTCGGTGGTGGAGTGTGATGGCGAATGAGAGGTCAGGAAATAAATGTGGGATCCTGGGGACTGAGTGGCTATTTTCTTCACCACTTTGTCTATGTTGTTTCCCGTGGATATGGGGGAGGTGTTTTTTCTGGTGTCCTTGACAATGGATGATGGCTATTCAGTTCGGCAATAGAGCTGCCTGAAGTAGGTTTTGTATGTGAGAATGGTTTTGGAGGGGGCCTCCTTTGGTTTTGAGAAAGCCCCGCCAAATAGCCACAGCCGAATGTAGGATGTGGTAGCAGTATTTTGAGTCGGTGTATATGTTGGCTGTTTTGCCTGAAGACAGAGTTAGTGCCCTTGTGAGGGCAATTAACTCGGCCTGCTGGGAGGTCGTCCCCGCGGTAATGATTGAGCCTCAAGAATAGAGTGTTGCCCAGTGATGATGGCATAACCTGCTCGGGTAGATCCTTGTGATGTCTTAAGGGAACTTCCATCTATAAATAGGGTGAGGTCCAGAGCAGGGAGGGGGGTAGAGGTGAGGTGGGGAAAGGGGTTGGAAAAATGAGTGAGCGTTTCGATGCAGCAATAGTGGGGGGTGAGGAGAAAGTCGGTAGGAGCATGGCAGGATTTAGGCTGGAGCATGGCTGAAAGGTAAATTCAGGGTTTTCAATGAAAATGATGGGGATTTGTTGTAAACGGGAGGGTGATAAGTGGCTTAGGGCCTTGTGAGATAGTAGGTCTTGAAGGTTATGTGGGGCTCTAATGAGGACCCTCTGACCAAAGGTACGTTTTTTGCTCTCAAGGGCCAGGAGGGCCATGGCCACTAAGGCCCTGAGGCAGGGTGCCCACCCCTTGCATGTTGGATCCAGTTGCTTTGAGAGGTAGGCTACCGGCGCAAAGGATGGTCCCTTTTGTTGTCCAAAAACCCCAAGGGCGAGTCCTTGCTGTTCAGTAACATAAAGTAAGAAATCTGAGTTTAAGTCTGGGAGATGTAGGGCCGGTGCCCGAAGGAGGGCCTGTTTAAGTTCAGTAAAATGTGTTTGTACAGGGAGTCTGGGGTCTAGTGGTTCCGAGA